TTTAAATTGCAGTTTACCTAATAAAGGGTCCAAGTTATAAAGAGGTCATTTAAAACTTTTAGTAAGTGATCCATTTGGTTAGTAGTACATGAAGACCTAAAGCCCCCAAAGCCCAGATATTTCATCGTGTAAGAAGTAAAGGCTAGAAAGAGGTTTTAGTGTGCTCAGGACAGTCTTTTACTTTTGGATGTAAGGAATTGAAATCTGGGGACTTGGACTGTCTTGGCATGGAAACACAGCTCATTAGTGGTCACGCGGGGATTATAGATTAGAGAACAATTATTCTATTCCCGATGAACATCTGCTTTGCTTTGTAGAGTAGCTTCACACTGATATGATTAAAACCTTGAGGCCACATTATGAGTCAGGTAATATTATACTCATTTAAAACCTAATCAGACTTAAAGTCAGAGAAAGATGAGTAAGGCTCTCATGCTTATAGGAAATTCCAGAACCACACTGAAGTTCATCTGACTCAAAGCGTGAGGTTTGAGTGGTTGCGTGTTTTCGCCTTGATCTCTGACCTGCAGCACACAAACTCAGCTGCTGTAGCTGCCTACGAAATCCCATGCCTTCCTCTGCTGCCAGCCAGCTGAAGGACTGCCCAAGGCTTATCGGACATCTTTCTTCTTTAGTTTCCTTATTAGCCACATTGCAGTTTAAGAACAGGTAGGTTTTTGCCTCTCAAAGTTTCAGTAAGGAGTACTAAATCCCTGGGATTGGAACTGGACTTTGTTCCTTGATTGTTCTTTTTTTTGGTAAGAATGAGTCCGAATGAATTCTTACCTTACCACAGTCTTCCCCCTCCATGTGGAAAGGAATTTATCATGGCAGTTAGGAAATCCTGGCTGTAACAATAAAGCAGCCCCAAACCGTGTAAGGGCTCAATAACATAGAGATGGATTTCTTATATAACTCATCCGTGACAGTTTCAGGTCTGTGGAAGGGCTCAGTATGTAACATTCGCAAATGTAGCTTCTAAGTCTTCCCTGAATACTGGCTTTCAAAGAGCAGGAGAAAATGTTACTGAGGCTCATTATGAGCCCTTTCTGTGAGACACAGTGGAATTGCAATACTTCTAGACTGGTAACTATGCTTCACTTGGTTGGCTTCAATGACTTGCAAAAGAACCATGCCCAAGACACACCCTTGGGGCCCCAAAAAGAAGAAAAGTGAGAGAGACAGATTCTTTTCCTGCAGGGTTTGCAAATGCTGTGCTCGTTACAGTCCTGGCATTCAACAAATGTCAGATAAAAATCCTACCTTTAGTGTATGTGTAGCAATATATGTTGCTAATCCCACTTCATTCCATTTACATGACTCATTTTTATTTAGAGAAAAACAGCAAAACAGAAAAAAGGGTATAAATAATACAGAATTTCAAAAAAACAGTAAGAAATCACTAGTTGATAAATTACACATGGTTAGCATAGAAGTAGTTGCTCAAGTCACAAAATCAAAGCATAAAATGTGGACAGTCAAACAATGACAGTACAAACCATTCTGTCTGATGAACTAAGAAATGCTTAGTAGTGTGGTTATCTGTCTTGCACACCTAAACATGCATACAGTTATGTCTTTTAGAGCACTTTCTTTCCATTTCATTATCGCAATGTCTATTATACATTACCACAGAATGGATGAAAAAGATGTGGTATTTTTATATGATGGAATATTACTCAGCCATATACATGACTCTTTCTAGGGGAAGAATTTAAATTTTTAGGGTGTATGGATACACTCATAAATGCCATTACAGAGTACTCTACAATGTTACAGTTCTCTCAAAATCCAAATGAATATCTTAGAGGATTTTGAAATTGTCTTTTACTCCCTATAGGTTTCCTGACTGTAAGTTCATATTCATTTTTCTGGATTTGGAAAATCTACTTATTCTGCCCTATATTCTTGGTAGTAGTATTTATCTTTCAGTTAATAATAATAGAAAAACCAAAACATGTTTTTCTTGAGAGTCTTCTTTTAAAAAATCTAAATCCTACTGTGTGTGAGTTTATCATGCCCAATTTATTGACAGTTGGAGAGCTGAATAGATGGCTTATGCAAATCACCCTTTCTTGATTCATCAGTAACATAATAGATTGGTGACAATTGCAGGCTTCAGCTTAGCTAGTTTTGATTAACAGTTCACCTGTGTCATCCAAGCAGGGAAGTTAGTTTTTGTGCAGCTGATGCTTGGTGATTGGTTACCCAGATGAGTACTGTGCGTTCTGCTGTGAAGCATCCCCCAGCACCTTTTGTTCCTCTGTTGCATTTGCAGGTCTCTGCTGGATGACACTGAGATTTAAACAAAATCCTAAGACTTTCTAAAAACTATAACAAGGACTTTTTGTTTGCCTGTTTCCTTGGAATGGCTGACACACCAGGAGGTGCAGCCCAGCTCTGTGACTGATCAGAATTCCTTGGGCGAGAACTGGCTTCCACAGTGAACTTGCGGGGCCCCTATTTCCACAGTATCTTCGCACTTGTTTGCCAGTAGCGAGCACTGACTGGGAGAAACAAATCTCTCAGGACAACAGCAGCCACAACCCAGTGTGGGGAGAAATCATCATTTATAATTTGTAAAGTCTCCAGTGTGTTGCTGAAGAGCCTTCGAGTGTTTTCTGTATTTGGATCTGGGTGGTTGCAGTTAATACTGTGGTGGCTCCATAGATGAAATAGCTAGTTTTCTGAACAGAGTGAAATGGGAAGGGAAGGCTCCCCCGACACCCACCCCATGCAGTATGGTTGCCAATGAAATGTATTTTCTGCCTACAGTTGTAGATCTTGCACAGAGCACAGAAATATGCAGCTTTACTGCTAGCTGTCTGTGTGAGGAGCCCTGGTTACTTCCCATGAGTCCCTGGAATCTATATGGAAAGTGCTGATCCCAGACAAAGGCCCTCTTCACTACTTCCCTCATTTCCAATGCAATCTGGGGATGCTGTAGTGTCTCTAGGGAAGTCACAGTTCTATAATTCCCCTGTTGTCTTCACTGGCTGTGAGAGGTTCCTGTGTCACAGGGATGACTTCTGCTCTATTGGATTGTGGGAAACAGGCAAACAGGCAAACAAAAAATTCAGGTCCTTAGTTATTTGACATGCTTTTGACTTTCTGGCTTCTAGTTTCCTAGCACTATTCATGGCTAAATGGTTATCTAAAGTATTGTTGGCAGCCTAAAGATGATGGAGTCTGTGGGTATCACTTTTGTGACAGCTTTGTAATGTCCCAGATAGAATTTGTTGTTGCTCTGTTATGAAGAGTTATCTCTCAAACTAATATCCAGAAAGTCAGTCTTCCCTTTTCGATTTTCAGAGAGATGTGAAAATCAGTCTTTCAAGTGTGGCTTTCATTGACTTGCATTTGAAAAACCCTGAGCTGGTTCAGAAACGCAGGGTATAGGTTTGTCCCTGTGAGCCACAGCCACCACTGACATCTCACTTCAGTTTTTGATATCTTTAGTGATCCAAGGTACATCTCACATAAAATATACCTGTAAAGTTCAAGAGATGACAGTATACATAATTATAGGGAATTCATTTGGGGGGATTTATAATAAATGCACACACAGTCTGACTACAATATACGAAGGTGCCATAGAAGCACTAGGCCCTAAAAACTGATGACATTTAGAGGCCTAAAGGATGTTCTGTGTGAAAGAACAATATAGGCTTTAATGAGCAAAAGATCATTCACTGCAAAAGAGAAGCTGGAGTTGAACAGTAGAAGTATATGTACCTTTATCCTCCCTGCTTGGCGTTGGGATGTGATAAAGTGAGAGTCAGGTTTCAACTAAACTCACGTACTGATTCATTACATAATTCAAGAATTAGAACAGGCAATAGAACTCTGTTAGTTGATTGCCTCTGAGATGATGCCTACAAGATCTGTTGAAAGAGATACTGAGTATCCGATTCATTATATATTATATCCCAATGTAAATTAATGTTCAACTCATATATACAATAGTTCAGGTATTTCCATGCAAAATAGTAGATTTCCAGCTACTGAAATGTATTCTAAGATGTAGAATACATCTTATTCTAAATAAGAATACATCCAGAATACATTCTGGATGGATTCTAAGAAATAATTTCATGAAGAATTCTATAGAAATTTCATCATGACAACCAGCAACCCTTCTTTCTACAGTGGAATCAATCAAGTTCAGCTCAGAAGCATGTGCTTGGGCTCGAAAAATCTGTGACCTCTCCAGGTATTTGTTTATTTTAAAGAACAAGATACCTGTCAACTCTTCATGGTGAATGTAAGAATTTTGTGCTATAAACATGTACTAATAAAAGGACAAGATGATACAGAACTGAACTAAAGGGGTTTCTGTCATCAGGAGTCAATAAAAATGAGGGATTTTCATTGACTAACATCTTTAATCAACAGTTTTAAATGAATTATAACCATAATTTTCCAAACTATATTCCCCAGAGCACTAGCTCCATCAAATGTTAAAGGTATCCTAAGAAAAAAAGATGCAACAGTCAAATAAATTTTTAAAAACAGCAGATACCACCATTCTTCTTTGAAAGCTTTGCAATCTAAGCCTGCAATTTAGTAAAATTCTACTTAGTTTTCTGAACTATCTGTTCATAAGAATCTTTCAAGAACTCAATTATGATAGTTAACATTACTAATTTTGAAATGCCAAATCGAAGGAAAGTCACATGCCTCCAATTCTAAGACAGTGCAAAGGGTATTCAGTTGGGTTTTTGGTTATAGTGGGGCAACACAGCACTTGCTGTTAGGAGAGACTTCATAATTCCAACCTCACTCATTTGTTTTCCAGCATGAGAAAACATCCGTGAATGAAGCTTTCAAATGTTTTGGATTTTGTGGGGGAAAATGTCATTCAGTTCTTCTTTTAGCTCTCATGTTAGGTGACTAACTATTCCAATTGATATGTTGACCTGACCGCATCTGGGTGTTTACTGAAGGTTAGTGTCAAAGACATTAATGTCCTGGCGGGCTTGTGTTTTTCTCTGAGGCAGATATTGATGAATGTGCAGAGGGGATCATTGAGTGCCACAACCATTCCCGCTGTGTTAACCTGCCAGGGTGGTACCTCTGTGAGTGCAGAAGCGGTTTCCATGACGATGGGACCTATTCACAGTCCGGGGAGTCCTGTATTGGTAAGCAGCTTCCAGCCATGCCCTCCATCCCCCTCGGCCTTCACAGGACAGGAAGCCTTTTTTTGGTGTCTGTCTGTCTCTTGGTGTTACAATAAGACCACTCACTGGTTAAATTCATCAATATTCACATTTTCTCCAAGATTCTTCCCTGTACAATTTAGAGATTAAGTCAGGGATTATGTGGTGGGGAGTGTTAGAACTTTTACATAGAAATGGAAACTGTCAGAAGAACAAAACCTGTATGCTATGGGTGTTTAGTTTTTTTGATGGAAACCATGATGACTCAGTGAAATCTCTGACAGTTTGAGAAGCAGCTGTGGCAAGAGGAAATAGTGATGGATTTACATTTGGAAAGTTCAATTTAAATCCCAGCTCTTATATTTTAAAAGTCACTGTATTCTCTGATCCTCATCTGCATTTATGTAAAAATGAAGGCAATAATGCTCACATATTATTAGGCTTAAATGAGTTGTTATGTATTTAAAACTCATAAGCTTTGAATCACTTATACAATGTGGTTACATTAACCTTTTTATTGTCACTTTAGCCACCATCACTATCTCCTGCAAAGTCACCTCTAATGGTGGTTCTATTAAAAGCTGAACCTGGGTGGGTATCAGATGGATTTCTTCTTATTTTCAGACCTTATAAATTTGTTGGAAGGCAAACGACCGATCAAAAACATGACGGTTTCCATGGGAACCTGCCAGTCCAATTCTTTCATGTCATATGGACTTATTTGAATTCTGAATACTGGGCAGACCCAGAGGGCAAGCATTCTGACCCTGTGTGCAGAAAGTCTGGGTGCTGAATTACAATGTGACAATTTGATTTTGGAAATTCCTTTTCAGTGCCCTTTGCACATCTTTTTCCTCTAAAGGATGCTGCTAAGAGCCAGCTGATCCTTTTCTCACATTTCTACCAGTGGTTTTCTAGAGCAAAGATGTACTAAGGAATGGTGGACACATGGAACGACTTGTCCACCAAAGTCTTGCGTAGCATGTGGTGTCACGGTCAGAAGTACAGACCCTTGGGCCAGACTTCCGGTGTCAAATTCTAGCTCTCCCACTTCTATGAAGCTTTGCTTGGGAAAATTCTTCTCTCGATTGTAGTTCATCCATCTAATTTGTAACTAGAAATAATGTTTATATGGAATTAATCTGAGCATTGTGATAATTCATTGAATTAATGTCTATAAAACATTCACTGATGGTTAGCTATTACCATCAACATCCATGCAGAGTCAGCATACTTGGCCTACTCCAACCACATTTCTTTTCATTGTTAATGTAATGATTCCCAACTGCATTGAGGTTGGCATTTATTATCCTTTCTTTATACTCTTCCAGGTACATCTGTGCATGCACTGCCCAATCTAAACAGATATCACATGAATAGGAAAAGATCCAATGGCTGTGGAGATAGAATGTAACTTATTAACTAACTCTGATGCTAAAATAAAACCTTAATTTTTACCAATCATATTTGACATCAAGAAGGGAGAGCCTTAGGCTTCAGTATGCACAAAGCACCTTAAAATCACCAAGATAAAAAAAATTATTGTGACTGTCTGGACCTACCATCTTGTTTCATCTTCAGGGACTCTGTGTACCCGCTCCTGTCTGGCTGCTAGGACATGAGGTTTGCTTACTTTCCTGGATTTAGGTAATGTGTCACTGTGACATGTATTGTTCTGCCTTCATAAGAAGAATCACTGCTCTGTTCCACCAACTCAAGACCTCTTAGCCAGGTGTAAGTCTCCATAGCTCCACTCATTGTGCTATTAGACAGTTTCTTTGTTCCCTGAGTAGACTTTGGCTCGAATGTTTACTTTTTCTTCTATACTTCCAATGAGACTGCTCAGTAGTTGGTGTTCAATAAACAAGAAAATTTAATCATATCCTGTTGACTGGTAAAGAAACTCAGACAAGATGACGCCTTGCTTAGAGCCTATAGGGGATTGGTAACTAGTGGTCAGTTTAAACACCAGCTAAACTGAATTAGCGTGGTGCTGAGTGTGGATGGCCCACCTGAGGACTGTGGCCAACATAAAAAGGAGACGTGCATGGGAAGGGTAGTGCTGTGGGTTCTCCTAAATGTTGCTGTTTGGAGCCATGGGTTCTCCTGGAGGAGCTTGTCATGCTGGCTCCCTGATATGAACTCAGCTGTTATCATTGGAAGAACTCAAGACCTTGTTGCTGAAATTAGCTGTGGTTCACTTTTCACTTCTTGGCTCCAGTACAGAGCCCTCAGCCTGCTGGCACAGATGATTCATCCTGCTAGCACAGACTTTCTAGCTTCCACCGCTAACCTTTGGCCTTCCCAGCTCAGATCCATGGGATTGAATTGCATGGGTCATTATCGTGGGCTATAGGTTTTCAGCTGAGCTGAAGCAGGTTATTACCAAGGGATCAAGGCCCTTAGCTGGATTTTCTAGCTCTTTAGCGTCTTAAACAGATTTCTTGTGCTTTATTTGTATTTGACTCCTTGGGTGACCATTACAAATAATACTATAAATTACATGTCCTATACGAAACTTTTTTCCTTGTAACTCTCAACTACAACAGAGCCCCACAGCTGGTTTGAGACTAGCTGAGGTCTCAGTCTGAGCAAGGGGGAGACATTATATCACAAAAGCTGAGGAAAGCTTCCATGTGTACCTCTTCTTCAGACATAATCATCACCAGTGCTCTGTCATTCTTATAAATGTAACAGTTATGGTGTCAGATGATATAGGCACTCTACATAGCACCTGTCCCAGTGCTGTATTCTCTGCCATGTTGAATGATATGATGCATGTGCGTGCATGTGTGTGTGTGTGTGTGTGTGTGTGTGTGTGTGTGTATAAGTGTGTGTGTACTTCCTGCATTGAGGAACTAATCCCTGCTCTGCAGAGGAAAATCTCAGAATGCTGGACATGTTAGCAAGGGAAGAGTGTTGCTTTTTATTAGAAGCATTTTTAATTTGGGTAATCATTTATTGGAATTTCTTGCATCTCTACTTAACAATAACCCATGGTAAATAGCATCAGATCTACAGAAATCCAATCATCATGTAAGGTTTCTTTGGAATTTGAGAGCATTCTGTTGGGTCAGGGTACTTCCTGGAAAAATGATGTACAAATTGGGTCAGGGTGCTTTCCTGTTGTGACCTTCTAATACCATCTTATTAAATGTAAATACATTTTCTCATTTCACATGCCCTTCAGGCTTTAGGTGCATTTCCTCTTTCTACTTCTTGGATTCATCTTCTAGATACCAGCCTTGAACATGACAAGGCGCTTCTCTCTGATCCCAAGTTCAGGACCTTTACCTTTGCTGTTCTCTCTCAAGCCCTCAACATCTGTCTTGTGGCTTGGATGTCTCATTATTTAGGTCTGACATCAAATATTACTTCTTCAGGGAGGCCTTCCCTGACTATTTTATCTTCCCCTGGCTCTTCATTAAAATATACTTTATATACACATTTTAGCATTTTTTAAGTTCTCAAATATATTGTGCGTGACCATACATGTAATTTTCTCTTGCCACAAGCCCACAAGTTCTGCATGGGCAAGGACTTTGTGTATTTCAGCACTGCTGTTCCAGCCCTTGGAATAACACAGATTAATAGTAGATATCGCATGACCTAGATGAGATGACTGAAGGAGCAGACATTCAAAACCATGAAGATTAGATCTATTTCCTATTTGGTTTGACAAAAACTGTTAAATATCAAAAAACCAACCCATTATATTACTGAGAACAAATGTCATACCAACACTGCATGAGGACTTTTGGGAATGTAATTATGAAAGTTAAAGTATTTGTTCTTGAGGAATTTATGACCTGGAATATTCTGAATCATAATAACATGGCTTAGTGGCACTGAAATTTAGCACATCAAAATGAGTCCTGGATGACATCAGCCTCTGATGCTTTCATTGAAAATAAGCAGCAACAGCTAAAACCAGCCTTTTAAAAAATGATATTGCACTTGTACTCTGCTGTTCTTTTCCCGTAGCATATAAATGTGTGGCCGCTCAGCCTTTAGAAGAAAGTCTTATAGCAGTGCGTACCATTTCTTCTCAGATGGAATTCAGTATATGTTGTTACAGTACACGTTGAGAATTAGTGACGCCATCAAGAAAAGGGCTTCCACAAGATTCATTATTTCATAAGCAAAAGTGTTGATAATTGTCCTTCCCCCCTAAAATACAAGGTGTGATTGATAAATATGGTGAATGTTTAATTTTTATATAAACTTTGTTAGTACATTTTAGATACACATAACAATCATTCATCATAGGAAATTTGTATTCTTACATGATGTATTTTGATTCTTTTTTTCCTAATCCCCTCTCCTCCCTTTAACCCATTTTCCCTCCCTACTTACAAAGCATTGTTTCCATTTTACACTTTTCAAACATTGTTATTTTTTTCTTTTCCCTTCCTTCTTTTTCCCCTTCCACTGTATTGGTTCTTCTGGCCTTTTGAACAGTTTCTTCCCATTTCACAATGTCGTGTATGTATTGTTCCTTACTCTTGCAGTTTCCTACATCAGGGAGAAAATGCAATATTTAGACATGTGGGTCCTGATTTATTTCACTTAAGAGGATAGATTCAAGTTGCTTTTTAAGTCATTTACTTAGAAATTCCTCCAATGTATCCCTCTCAGATAAAAAAAATACAAATTATAAATACATATATGAAACAATCTGATGTTTAAATTTTAGAAATTATTGCCCTAGAAGACAAATTTCCAGTTATCTCTTAAACATACACCCACCTTCAATTTTGAATAAACTTATTCCCATTATTCTTGCCACTTTCTGAAGCAGCTTTGGAAGTTCTCTTTTTAATTACTCTGTCTTAGTTGTCTTATTGTGCTGAATCACTTCAAATCATTTACCTTCTATGATCATTTTGATTTTTTAAGAAGAACTGTAAATTGCAATTTGCCAGATCCAGTGAATAAGATTGTGAGGATGCACATCATATATCATGGCTGATACACTGTGT